GGGCAAGATGCTGGGGGTGGTCAGGCTAGTGGGGAGTGTGGAGCGGACGAGGGAGTCATGGAGAGAGCGGTCCCTCCGGAAAGCAGATAAGGGCGGGGAGGGAAATATATCCTTTGTAGTGGGGTCAGATTGGAGGTGGCGGAAGTAGCAGAGAATGATGTGTTGAATCCAGAGGTTAATGGGGTGATACGTGAGGACAAGGGGGATTCTGTCTTTGTTGTTATTACGGGGAGGGGGTGTGAGGGATGAGTTGCGGGAAATGCAGGAGATGCAGTTGAGGGCATTTTCGACCACTGAGGGGGGGATGTTGCGGTCCTTGAAATACGAGGACATCTGGTATGTTCGGGAGTGGAACACCTCATCTTGGGAGCAGATGCGGTGGAGGCAGAGGAATTGTGAGTAGGGGATCGCATTCTTGCAGAAAGGTGGGTGAGAGAGGGTGTAGTCCAGGTAGCGGTGGGAGTCGGTGGGCTTGAAATAGATATCGGTTTCGAGGTGGTCAATAGAGATGGAAACAGAGAGGTCCAGGAAGGAGAGAGAGGTATCAGAGATGGTCCAGGTGAACTTAACCTTGGGGTGGAAGGTGTTGGTGAAGTGGATGAACTGTTCGAGCTCCTCGTGGGAGCACGAGGCGGCGCCAATACAGTCATCGATGTAGCGGAGGAAGAGGTGGGGGATGGAGCCAGTGTAGCTGCGGAAGAGGGATTGTTCCACAAAGAGGCAGGCATAGCTTGGGCCCATGTGGGTACCCATGGCCACCCCCTTTGTCTGTAGGAAGTGGGAGGAGTTGAAGGAGAAGTTGTTAAGGGTGAGGACGAGTTGAGTTAAGTGGATAAGGGTGTTGGTGGAGTGGGGCTGGTTGGGCCTGCGGGACAGGAAGAAGCGGAGAGCTTTTAGGCCATCTGCATGGGGAATGCAAGTGTATAGGGACTGGATGTCCATGGTAAAGATGAGGTGTTGGGGACCAGGGAATCGGAAGTTTTGGAGGAGGTGGAGGGTGTGGGTGGTGTCCTGGACGTAGCTGGGGAGTTCCTGGGACAAGGGGGAGAAAATAGAGTCGAGATAAGTGGTGATAAGTTCGGTGGGGCAGGAGCAGGCGGAGACAATGGGTCGACCAGGGCAGTCAGGTTTGTGGATTTTGGGAAGGAGATAGAAGCGGGCAGTGCGGGGTTGAGGAACGATGAGGTTGGAGGCTGTGGGTGGGAGGTCACCTGAAGTGATGAGGTTGTGGATGGTTTGGGAGATGATGTTTTGGTGGTCGGGGGTGGGGTCATGATCAAGGGGGCGGTATGAGGAGGTGTCTGAGACTTGGCGTCTGGCCTCAGTAATGTAGACGTCAGTGCGCCATACAACTGCGCCTCCCTTGTCCGCGGGTTCTCCGGTGAGGTTGGGATTGGAGCAGAGGGAGCGAAGGGCTGCACGTTTTGTGGGGGAGAGGTTGGAGTGGGTGAGAGGAGTAGAGAGGTTGAGGCGATTGATGTCTCGACGGCAGTTGGAGATGAAGAGGTCGAGGGAGGGTAGGAGGCCTTGGGGTGGTGTCCAGGAGTATTGGAGGTGGGAGAAGGGGTCAGTAGAGTGGGGGGTGTCGACTTGTGGTTAAAGAAATAAGTGCGGAGGTGGAGGCGGCGGAAAAACTGTTCGATGTCCAGGCGTGAACGGTATTCGTTGATGTTCGGGTGGACGGGGATAAAGGTGAGTCCTTTACTGAGGACTGACTGTTCGTCCTCAGTAAGGGGGAGGTCTGGGGGGATGGTGTAGGACCTGGCAGGGCTGGGGGCTGGTGTTTACTGCAGGTACATCAACACTGATGATATAAATATTTCCATGGACTGTTCACAGGCTGTCGTGAGAACTGCGGAAACTGAAAATTTTGAACAGTCTGTAAAGTGCTCAGATCTCAAACAAGCTGAAGAGCAATAAATCCTGTTTAATACAGAGCTGGCATAATAGCTCTCCCAGCTTTTCTTTACTCACCCAGTCAGTTTTATTTCAATTGATTCCCTGCTCAGCAAAGTGGAGCTTTCGGTTCTGAGGAAGGGTCACTGGACCCGAAACGTTAATTCTGATTTCTCTCCACAGATGCTGCCAGAGTTTTTCCAGCAATTTGTGTTTTTGTTGCAATGAAAGGAGAGACTAGCTGAGTTAGAGCAGCATCTCATGATTTTATAAACCTCTATAAGGTCTCTCCTCAGCCCCCAATGCTCCAGGGAAAATAGCCCCAGCCTATTCAGCCTCTCCCTATAGCACAGACCCTCCACCCCATATTTAAGACAAAGATAAGAAATTTCCTCTCTTAGAGGGGAGTGAATTTGTGGAATTCTTTACCCCAGAAGGCAATTGAGGCTGGGTCATTAAGTCTATTCAAGCTGAGATAGACAGATTTTTAATCAGTAAGGGAATCAAGGGTTATGGGGACAAGGCAGGAAAGTGGAGTTGGGGACTATCAGATCTGCCATGATCTCACGTAATGGTGGAACAGACTCAATGGGCTGAATGGCCTAGTTCTCCTGTATCTCGTGGTCTTTTGAAATGACCTCTTTCCCAAATGGATTAGTAACAACAGGGTTTTCAACCACCTTGACTAAGTTATAATTCAGAGCACCAAAATAGGGAAGGTCTGAGTGTTTTAATAATGTTTTCCAGAAATCAGGTTTTTGCCCGTAGATATTAGTGAGAATGAGTTTCCCTCTCACTGCAGAGTCCATCTGTACTTGGCAGTTACCAGGGAACAGGAATGGGTTAGCCAGAGCACAGGACGATTAAAGCTGAGAAACAGCATACTGGATGAGGGGGGAGAGCGATGGTGTGGAAGGGACAGCAAAGTGTGTGGCCAGTTTTCACCAAAAGCCCCCTGGTTGGTTGCCCAGATGTAAGGCCCAGCCCTGTGTCACAGATCCCCCCCAGCCCTGGAATGTCTGTACGGGCCTTCACATCTTCTGGATATTTCAAAGCTCTTTCCAACTACAGAATCCCACCAATGCAAACATAACTTTTGAGTTGAATCAAGATTTAGAACTAAGATTCTAATGATGATTGTTGTAAAAAGCCATCTGGTTCACCAATGTCCTTTAGGGAAGGAAATCAGCCATCCTTACCTGGTCTGGCCTACATGTGACTCCACACCCACAGCAATGTGGTTGACTCTTAAATTTCCTCTGGGCGATTACAGATGAGCAATAAATGCTGGTCTAGCCAGCGACGCCCACATCTCATGCATTGATATAAAAAACCATGAATTATCTTTCACGTGTAGTCAGAGGGTTTATTTGTGTGTGACAGAGGGGCAAAATCCACAGAGATCTTGGATGGAGAGCCAGTGGCAATGTCCAC